TCCGGTGTAGACACAGTGTAGCATTGGTTGTGCTATGTTTCACAGAACTAATCGTTGCCTGGGTTGCGTACATATGTGTGGGGCGGAGCAATTAAAATAGGGGCGAGACCCTTTTGGGGTAGGGGCGTGTTTGTTTTGGTGATTTCAAATGTCAACATTGGCCACCAGAAATCGCTTACCCCACTTTCAACTGTAAATTGAGTGTTTAATATTGTCCTTTTGCATTATCGACACACTATTTTTCAGTTTAAGACTGTAAAGCTGCTTTTACATTCTGTATTGTAAAAATCACTATATAAAAAAGGTGACTTCACTTGACATGGTCCCTACACAGTGTTCATTGCTTCCTACTCCCTGAGCATGGGAAATCCGTTGAAGTTCTCTTCACTTTGGAACATTCATTCATGGATTTGCGCTTTGACACTGTCCGCAGCGTCTTCTTACACAAACATAAATTACTAGAGAAGCGTGAAGTATGACATAATATATCTCTGTAAATAAATATAATATACGTCTTGCACAGTTTAATGTAGGGCTGTGCAAATAATCAAATGCGATTATCTCTTCAGTAAAGCCGGTTCTGTGATTAGTAGTTAATCTCCATCACATGCTTTCAAATGGAGCGGCATTTACTACACAGAGTCGTAGTTCACTGACAAGCTACGCAATATCGCATTCATTATCGCCGATGTATCGCCTTCTTCAAGAATCAGCTAAAAACACATCTCTTCCATCTTTATTTGACCCCCTAACTAGCACTTTCTATTCTAATTCTATTCTTAAAAAAAACAAACTTGCCCCTTTTAGACTTGCACTCTATTCATTTACTAACTGCTTGTTTTCTTTAAAAAAAAACTAACACTAGCTTCTCCATTCTTTTTGTATTCTATCTGTTTTCTTAATTATATAATAATAAAAAAACTTGCAATTTTGATTGCTTCCATTGTCCTCATTTGTAAGTCGCTTTGGATAAAAGCGTTTGCTAAATGACTAAATGTAAATGTAAATGTACTCAGTAGTTTGTATGGCCCCCACGTGCTTGTATGCATGCCTGACAACGACCCCAACCCCAATTAGACACACCTGAACCAGCTAATCAAGCTCTTACTAGGCATATTAGAAACTTTCCAGCAGGTGTGTTAAGGCAAGTTGGAGCTTAACTCTGCAGGACACCAGCCCTCCAGGACCGAGTTTGGACACCCTTTGTCTAGCCTGTAGAGGTCTGTGTGTCCCTCCATGGATATGCCTCCCCACTGACCCACCACCAAACCGGTCATGCTGAACGATGTTACAGGTAGCATAACGTTCTCCACGGCTTCTCCAGACCCTTCCACGTCTATCACACATTGCCGTCGCTATCAATTCTGGGCCCTGTGCACTGAATTTGCTATGGGGCCCTCTCAAAATCACGTTGTTGTGGGGGGTGGCTGGGGGTGGTACGAGTTGCAATCATAAAATGTAAAATAACGTTCCCACAAGTTCCCCCTTGAATGTTTTGATGGGTCATAGGGCCTTCAAATGGAGTAAATAAATGAATAAATAAAACAGTACAGAAACGATAGATATTACTGAATTCACGACAAATGCATCAAACTTAATAATGCATTTTTGTCACATAGTAAAGCACTTGAGAGTAAAGCATTGATTTTGAGCTAGACTGCTGGAAAGTTACTGCTAATAAATTCTGTTATAATTTCCTCAAGGACTTTCCAAATGACTTTCTTCTGTTGAACACAAAAGAAGATTTTGTAGAATGTTACCAAACCATTTTGGTTACCCTTGATTTCTACTGTATGGACAAAAAGTTCTTGAATTTCTCAAATTATGTTCCACAGAAGAAAGAAACTCATACAGGTTTGGAATGACATCATGTTGAGTAAATGATGACAATTTTCATTTTTGGGTGAATCTCCCTTTAAGAACTTTATTATTTGTAAATAATAAGCACCTAATTTATATAAGACACTGATATTTATCTTTAATCAGGCCCTTATTGTATTAACATTTTATTTAAATTGAAATTCATTAGAACTAAACATCTAAAAAGAAAGAAGTATCCAGAGTTTAACTGACTAGTATTAGTAGGATATGGAACGATATTCCGGACAATTTTCAAATAGAATAGCAAATTGTATTTTCAATTGCGTTTTCAATATGTGGACGCATAAATTGTGACATAATCCAAATGCAATTGCAAATCCTGCATTAGTAGGATGGTGGTCACAAGAAGTAAAACCATGGTCCTCAATAAATAAGTAATAATAAACTATAAAATTTGTAGTTAAAAAAAATTTTTACATAAAGAAACTACAAAACAGCTTCTATGAAATTAAAATATTCCCCAATATGTAATAACAGTAACATTTATAATAAATAAATTTCTGCCAACACAGGCTATTTGCAGTGTTAATAACTTCAAGTTAAATTATTATGGTGCTGAATTG